CCAAGTAAAATTTATTTGTTTAACCCAAGCTAAAGAATAATAATGTGCATTTGATCAGATATAACTTCAGTACAAGATTATGATATGCATTATTTGAATGCTTGGCCAAAGAGATGTGTCTTTAATCTAGATTTAAACAGAGAGAGTGTGTCTGAACCCCGAACGTTATCAGGAAGGCTATTCCAGAGTTTGGGAGCCAAATGCGAAAAATCTCTACCTCCTTTAGTGGACTTTGCTATCCTTGGTTCTACCAAAAGTCCAGAGTTTTGCGACCTTAGGGAGCGTGATGGATTGTAGCGTGGTAGAAGACTAGTTAGGTACGCAGGAGCTAACCCATTAAGGGCCTTATAGGCAAGTAATATTATTTTGTAACTTTTGTAACTCTTAATAGGTAGCCAGTGCAGAGACTGTAAAAATGGGGTAATATGATAATTTTTTCTTGATTTTCTTGACACTCTAGCCGCTGCATTTTGGACTATGTAACTTGTTTATTGAAGATGCAGGACAACCACCTAGCAGTGCATTACAATAGTCCAGTCTAGAGGTCATGAATGCATGAACTAGCTTTTCTGCATCAGAAACAGGTAACATATTTCGTAACTTGGCAATGTTTCTAAGATGGAAGAATGCGGTTTTTGTAACATGGGAAATATGATTTATTGAAGTTGATGTCTAATATAACACCCAAATTTTTGACTGCAGAAGGTATTTTGTTACACAATTTGTTGCACAAATACATTGTACAGCTTTAGAGGACTTGGAATATAGCACAGAATTCATATGGACTACTTTTATGGTGTTTCTTTGTGGAGATGTGGCCACAATGATCATTGCATAAATATTCTTCAGAAAATCTCCTTTTACATTTCGCATAAAAACAAACTAACAAAACGTACGTTTGGCACAGCATGAGGCTGAATAAATAATGACCAAATTTTCATTTTCTGGATGAACTATTTTTTGTATTTATTAGTTTCTTTAACAGGGACAATGCAGTATAACATTGCTACAATTGCAAGCAGCCGATGCTCCACATATAGGCTTCTAGCCAAAGGCTAATTTGCCCAAACTATGCTTTAGAAATGGCATGAGACTAAGGTTCTACCTGTTTTTTTTAAAAAAACAAAAGCCTTAACAATCTGTCTGATTAGAACTCGTACCTTGGACAATCTGAAGAGATGAATAAATGTAGTTTCTTCAATCATGTTTTTCATTTATTACAGACAGTTCCTGGGCCAGATTTGGTTTATTTAAACCTCACGTGAATAGCACTGATTCCTCAATCAGAACCCCTGCTCTCGACGACTTTCTCAATGCTGAACTAAAAAAAAAAA